GGAAGTTACTGGAAGGATGGAGACTCTTGGTGTGTTGCAGTCTGCAATACCAAGGAGATTGAACTAGTGTGATACATGGCAGCCATTCGAATAAATTTGCAATAAATTTGTGCCAACTTGTTTTCTCAACCACGAACATTGGTCATGTTTGCAATCAGCGCCGATGAGATACACTACCATTACCGCCGGAACTTCCGGCCCGCCGTATCTTCGACCCAACTTCCACTTTGCCTTGTCTACCGGGCCTGGTAACAAATGTGATGCATGTGTGGACAAAAGATCTCGAACGTGAGAGGGTCCAGTGCAGTTGCGGTACCTACTACTCCAAAATTAACTGCCCAGTGCCCACTGGTGGCATCTTTGTGGCATGTGGCATGTGCAAGGCATGTGCTGCCGCACTGCCGTGGCGCCAGTCCCAAAAACAACTGGACTACATCCATTGCAACCCAGCGGTGTTGGGCTGTGCTACCTTGTACTATTCTGGGACCCCTTGCTCTAGTCTCGGAACCGCCTGGAGGCTGGTTACGAGACTACTTACCCTTGCACAATGCCACCACTGGCTCGCCAAGGAACACTCCAAAGCCTGCGAAGCTGGTGGTCAGATAGAAACCCCACAGGCCCAACGATTAACCTCCATGCAACAGCGAAGCCGCTGATGAAATGGATGTATCACCGTGCGGTGCTAGATCTCATTATGGGTAGCCAAACGGTCCCGCTTTCACCAGAGACGGCACAAATTTATTCCAGCTACGTCTCGTATGGTCTCTACAGATTCGTTGAACCTGCGTTGACTGATCTCACAGGTGCAAATATGTCGCCAAAAGGACCAAAAAGTTACTTTTGACTGAGCTGGTGTCGAGAGCGAGACTGGAAGACGAGGCAGGCGGCCTAGTTGACAACATTGTTTTGGAGGGGGCCATGCAACTACTATTATCGCGAAGAAAATCTCTACGACGCAGCGCATCATCGATGCTGATGTGGTTATCGGGACGGAAGTCGACAGCGCAGGCCACTTGCCTGCAACTTGTGGGTATTTTGAGGCGAGTGTCCTCTGATTTCTGTCGCAGTGATTTAATGACGCCTTCTCTTAGGAAACCCGGATGCCTCGAAGTTCAAAATGTAATGGAAACATTGGCCAGGATTGCTCGTCGGTACCCACAAGCAATAATCAAAGCAAAAGTGCTCGACCAGCTTCTTCACTCTTCGGATGAACAAGTCCAAAAATCAACATGCACGATGCTGAGGGGACTGGCGGCGCAGGAGCCGGCGGCGGCGGCCTTGTCCTGCGAACAGATTGTGACTCTTTTATTGTGAGTTTTCTCGTTCTCAGGCTGCTGGCACTAACCATCCGATCACATAACAGAGTCAACAAACCCGATGTATGCGCCAGCGCAATGGCGGTACTAGCCGTTATTGCAGTATGGCCGTACGGGGCACACTCTGTCGTCGAAGCGAATACCCTGGACCACGTCGCGGAACTCCTTCAATCAAAAGATGATCGAATCCTGAAGTCAACATGCATCATGTTGAGTAGGTTGGCATTGCATGAGCCCACGGCAACGGCCCTGCATACTCTGGAAATTTGCCAGCCTATTGCGGCTGTCCTATCGTGGGTGTTTCTCCTGTGGAAGGCTTTAAAAACTATTGACTGTGAAATAGAACCAAGAGTTTTGCAGTATATTATGCGATTTCTGTATTCGCAGACATTGCGGTTCATGCAGACGGGGCGCAGACTATTGTCACGACGAATGTCCTGGACCTACTTCCGAAAATCTTGTGTCAGGAGAGACCAATGATTTGGAGGCTGCTGAAAAATGTTATGTCACACCCTGCCATCGCCCAGATGACTTGTGAACGAATTGTGGCTCAACTGGGGTGAGTTTTCATTTTCCTGCTTGTTGCCTTCATGTTCATGCTCTTGAATCCTGCATCGTACGTAGGTACAACGACCAACTGCATAGTCTTATACCCGTCATCGAAATTCTCTACGAGCTGGCCTCGACGGGGCGGAATGCCGCACTAATTGTAAATGCCCACGCCATCGACCACTTAGAACAACTGATCCACTCCCCGGAAGAGCCCGTGCGGCAATGGGCATCCGAGTTGCTACGTCTGTTGCGAACTTACAAATCAGCTGCGGCGGCGGTCGAGAGAAATCATCCATCTGGGTAACTCACGATGCTTGTAGTTTCGGATAGGCCTAGGCGTGCGAAGTGGCTAGATAACTGTGAACACTGTGGTTAATGAAAATGGTGTGGAGGGGGAGATCATTAAGACGCGGAATCAGACCCCAACAAGTTGTTCTCTTTGTGTATCTATCCGTCACGAACGGAAAGTACTGTTTTCCTGTACGCCCGATTATGGTTGTACATGTTGAATTCGTCTGTTCAGAGTGTATCATTGAACGCCTGGAAATTACATGTATCAAAGGAATGGAACGAGTAGGGTGAGTGGAGCTACTACTAATTTTGTCAACGACACCAATAGCAGCGGTACCACAATCCACAATCACAAAGCTGTATTAAGTATTTCAAGCAGGGCAAGTAACAAGTTCAGATTCATTCAAAAAAAAAAAAAAAAGGCATGCAGCTGGTAAAAATCCGACATTTTTAGCCAATGTGAACATTGCTTGTTTCCCGTACATTTTTCTAGATTTATCTACCTACTACATACTCAAGAGTTTCATCTATCGTATTCTACGTATCACATAGTCCGTGCGGCGTCTACAATGTATATTCGGAGTCCATGAGCTCCTAGGTCCCAAGAAAAGGGAAAAAGGAAAATGTCGGAGAGGAAATATAGAGTGTCCACAACTAAAGCAAGCAAGCAAAGAAAATCAGGAGAACGACCGCAGGCGCCCCACGGCCAACCTGATCTTGAGCGAGACCACGAACTTTAACTTCAACCACGCGTCCTCCTTAAGCGCGAATGTTGCATCCCACTCCCTCTCCGCCCCCGCCCCTTCCCGCTGCGGTTGCATAGCCCCTTTCCCGTGCTTGTCCTCCGCCTTATCCGCCTCCAGTGCACCAGCCATAATAGACAGCGCCGCCCCATCCAACGACCGAAACAGTGGATTGCCGCCATACGGTGCGACCAACACCCGAGGACTTTGAACCTGCGTAGGGCCCGCCAGCGGGAAGCCCAACGACGTGTGCCGCGGGGGGAGGGCGACACCGGGCGTCGTTGCAGGAGCGGTAGTAGTACCATGCGGTGTTGCGGGTGCGTCACCAGGCGTCTGCTGCGCACAGCGCGGAGATCCGGGGGTGGGGGTGACGCGCCGGCGGGTGATCTGTCTTGCGCACAAGGGTGGCTCGTTTGCTGTGGTGTTGGCGGTGGTTGTGGATGTAGCAGTGGCGGCAGCGTATGAGCGCTTCCGCGGGCCTGGGACGGGGCGAGTGGGGGTGTCGGCGCTCTGCTGCTCTGTGGCGGAGAATGAAGCCTCGACGGTCGGGTCAAGCTCACATTTGCCGGAGCGCACAGTACTCGGATTGTCCGTAGAAGAGGGTATACGGGTCCGGGGACCGGCCTGAGGGGACGCGGGGCTCGAAAGTAATGTCACCGAACTTGAAAAGGATGGATTGGGACGACGGCGCGCTACTGTGGACGGACGCCCGAGCCCGAGGTCGACCCGGCTGCAGGATGTCTGGGTCGCAAGGAGTAGTGAGACATCCGCGTCGACGCCTTGGGATGTCGCGGCGGCGGCTTCCTGCGCCGCTTGAAGAGAGGCAGCTGTAACGGGCGGGAACCGTCCGAGGGGCGACAGGCGACTTGTCTTCATTCGCCGGTGGCTGGGGAGCAGGTCGTGCTGAGGGTCGGGGGTGACCTTCTTGGCCGCATCTCTGACCACGATCTGCGGTGTAATGGTTAGAGAGGTTGAAAAGGAAGGAATGGTGTTCTTACCAAAGTAAACGTATCAGAATTGGGAAGGGATGAAAAGGATGCAGAGGTAGAGAGAGACATAGTAGAAACAAGGAAATAGGAAGAAGGGATGAGGGAGGAGAGCTAGAGCAGAGAAGTTGTATGAGGCGGGTTGTGGTGGGAGAAAGGCAGGCTGAGAATGCGGAAAGTTCGAGGATATTCTTGTGCTGCTCCAGGCAGATGAGAGTGGAAAGCAAGAGAGAAAGTAGCCCCCGTCTTGCCCTGCGGATGCAAATGTAAGACAGGGATCGTTGCGACATTTTTAATGATTTGTCCAGACGATCGAGTCGGACTTGTATTCTTTGAAGATCGTGGCTAGCTTTTACTATCGGTATCCTTTTACGGAGGATGTCGATGCTGGTTTCCCAGAATGTCGCACGCAGTCTTCTAAGTTCTAGGACTCGAGAGGCCTTGCGTTTTGCGGTTGCCCTTGTACTTGTTGCCCTCCTAGGACGGTGAGTTGAACGTACAGGTTAACAAATTACGAGTATGTTCGAGTTCCTTGACGCGGAGTCGGAGACTGAGCATTTTGGGGACAAGTGCAGAGAGCAGAAGATGCCGGGGCCAAGGAAAATGAGGGTGGCGGTGCTCCTGAGGCTGTGCCAACAAGCAACGTCACACAACGCGTCCGACGCGCGTCGCGTAACGCTCGCGTTCCTGCTTAAAATCCAATTTGCAGGTAGCTGTCTTGACTCATTGGTATGTAAACTATCAAAGGTCAAACAAAAAGACACGAGAATAAAGGCGATGATTCCGTCCAGAACGATTTTGAAGTACTTAAGAGACAGCAATGACAACGTTACGACTCCGACTCTACGAGACACAAAAATGTGCTTCGTCAAGGGCCAAAACACATTTTAAATCGTGAAGGAGAAGGCTTGCCGGCCGCTGCTATGAAGTTTTTGATTCAAATCGCAGCGACGGAGCCAGATCCAGTATGGTCTTCCTGTGCATGACCACTTGGACCACTGAGTCTTTGGCTCACTTTCCTGACTTCGGTTCACTCTTCTAGGGAAAATCACCCCAAAACACCAAAAATCGGAAACGTTGAAAGGTAAAAAAATTGCTACCATTTCTGCACATTCAGGTGCGGGGAGTCGAACCCCGTCCCGCTGCTCAAACTGTGAAGGCACTGTGGGGATTGACAGCAGCGGTGCGCCATACACCACACCCGATTCAAAAACTCATGTTGCAACCTGAATGGGAGGCTGAGATTTGGAAGGCTGACAGCACACAGATAAAACCACTCCTTGTTTGGACGCGTACATTGCAGCTGCAGCCGACTTAAGGCTAGTCTCTCCTAGACAGACGCTTCAACAATCACCTACTTACCTCGTACCTCGGTTTGTTGAAAGGCATATGTTTTCGCACTGGAGCAATTCTACCCGTTCCGCAACAAGGTTCGAAATGTGTGCTGCGAGAAAAAGGAGAGGAAATAAAAAAACTCTTCTCGTCGCAAGATTCGGGTGCGGGCAGTCGAACCCCGTTAGGCTGGGTTGAATTTCGTAGCATTACCATTCCTATAACCAGCAGCAGTGCGCCATACACCACAATCGATCGGTACCTATATTCTGTACTGGTGAGCGATTTCATGGTTCGAATTGTCTCTTCGGCATGAACAAAATCTCATTGACACGAGGAAAATGGTCATTGTGCCGTACACATCTGACCGAAGCCTGAGGTTTGTAGTTCGAAATTTGGGTTGCTACTAGCAAGTTTAATACAGTTACCAGAAACGTTTGACTGAATTTAACGTTTGGGCCGGTTACTTAGTGAACCGCGAATAAAAATGAAGCTAATTATAAGACCAAGCTATTCGGGTGCATTCGCCGGTGCACTGCTGTGCACCAAACCCGATTGCAGTATTACTTTTCAACGTAGCTGAGCGAACGAGTAAAAGGTTTGGATCATAAATGAGAGAGAAAAGCATCCGAATCTAGACCACGTTGGGGGTTTCCCATACGACAGCAAGGTATATCTTAAAATCAGGTTCAACCTGGCCAAATATCAAGTTTGAACAGTGCTCCAACCGCGATGAATACTGTATTGTAAAATACCAGACCGTTTGCTTTGAATTTCTTTTGACTTGAGATGGCCTCATCATGGCTCAGCTTCGGCGTCGAGCCCTCGGCCCTCCTTTCTCGTTCTTCATATTGACCAGTTATGTTCAAACTCCGGCACGTTTGCCGGCGGACTGTTCGGCATTCACCATCAGCTGATGAACACTGCCGAGGAACGTAAGGCCCGGGTAGGGCATGTCGGCACCCAATCGGCACCTCTGAAATACCATCTCCCAATACAGGTAAACCTACGCCGGCATTACACATCGACGAATTTTCCAAGCAGCTCAACTTTCTCGCTCGATCGGGGCTTGATTGAACACTTGAAGGGTTCAGGGAAACTACGCGCCGGCGTTCTAGATCAGCAACCTTGTTCCGCAGAAGCAAAACGCGAAAACGTGCGGACCTCAACAACCCCGAGGAATAGGCATATGATGGCTCTACAATATTGCCCTCTTCGTCAATGGCTTTCTGTACGTCGAAGCAGCACAGAATCGACGCAACCACCATCCATAAGAAGGAATAGCCCATATGTGCGCCGGGGCAAGATCTAGTTTCAGTTCAGCCGGTTGTTGGATAAGTGCATGATCTAGATTGGTGAGGAAACTCGCCTCCTCCCGAACCCGAACGCAAATGTGCGCGGGTCCCTCACGTCGAGATTCAATGTTCCGTCTTTCAAGAATCTCTCAGGTCTAAATTCGAATGGATCCGGATACTCCCCCTGGACCTGTGTTCAATTTCATCTCTGCTGATTAATAAATTCTATCCACACCTCGTTGTGGGCTATCGACCTATTGTCGTGTTTGAACTTTGAATACGTCCAAAATCAGGGAAACTGAACTCTACTTACCAGACATTCGGGATGACGATTGAGCCCGCGGGGATGCGGTATCCACGGTACGTATCATTCTTCGTTACCGAATGTGGGATAGCTGTAAGGTGATGCCGAGCAGTTAGCATGCCTGAAGCGAAGAATCTCGGAGAGGTATGTCATGAAACCGACCGATTGGCGTGGGGGGTTTCCACCTCAAGGTCTCTTTCACGATCGCTGAGACGTAGGGAAGGCTGTATTCGTCCTCCAAGGCGGGGAGGAAACCTGGCCTGACAATCGAGTCCGTAAAAAGTAACTTATTTCCTAACTTGGTAAGTTAACTTACCACCCAAACTTAACCGTGCCGGCAGCCGCACTTAACTTATTTTTTCCCACACTTACCTCACTTCACTTATTTAAACTCCGCTCCTACGGTTACCTCGCGGCACTTATATCAAGGTATTTTAGTCTTTCTTATGAACTACGGCACTGGTATGTTGAGTTTAATGGGATTTTAATCCCCTTTCCATGGTATTCTCCTGAAAAGTAGCTCTTTGGCTTGTGCAGTTGATCACACTCGAACCGGACCGTATGTTACTCAACCTCAGAACTGTACAGGCTAGTGAACCATTGAAATGAAGGGGTCAGGTGCCCATGATGGGCCTCTAGCCCAACAGGGACTCCCTTTCAGCAGTGGTATCAACTTATTGGCCCAGCCCCTATACGTATATGCATTTCTCTTTGAGACAGCCAACACAGATGAAGACTGACAGAGAATCCATATCTTCCACTGCTTTTAAGCCCTCCATTGTCTCAACAAAATCTGCCTCCGCTTGTGATAGACAGAAAACTCATACTGTACCTATGGTGCGGGACACCTAGCTGCCGCTACTTCATGCTTGAAAATGTGTGACATTTTGTGACCGCAATTTTATCCCAATGTCTTATCCCTCTTACCAAAGTGCTCCGTTTGAAGAGAGGAACAGATCTGTAAGACAGAATTTTAATTCAATGAAAACTGAGTGAGTAAAAAAAAACTTGTCGACCAGATTTGGCCACAAGCGGGTAAAAAAACAGAAAATCAGGTCACTTGTGGCTGTGTCCTGGGCCAAAAAAAAATCTCCGGCCAAATTGGCCACTAATTTCGGGTAGCGGCAGCTAGGTGTCCCGCACCATACTGCAAGTCAAATCCATTGCACCAACTTATTTGCACGTACTTAAAATACATGAATCTGACCATCTACGGGCACCTTGGAGGGTAATTCAAGTCCCAAGTTAATCTCACTTTGTAACTTACCGAAACTTACAGGTGCTTAGGCTCACTTATTGCGCCAAGTGCCACCGGGTAAATTCACTTATGCCATCAATCCATCTGATGCCATAAGTTACCGCTACGCCTTCAAGTGAACAGCAGGAAAATGTGTTTACAGACAGTGTAAGGGCAGTGGTTACCTTATAACTAACCACTACAGCTACTAACTATCTTTTCAAAAAAAAATTCTGAGCTCAGGTGCTGCACTGCACGCCACCAATCTCCGCTGTGCCTGCTGCCTCATCAGGTTCCAACATGAAACCGGCATCTGGATTCTCCCGTTTCTGCTTCAATGACTGAGTCAATTTCGATGTCCCAGAAACCTTTTGAAGCAGACTTTATTGGGGTGCTATTATCAGTTTTTGATGTTGGTTGGTTGAAATCCAGGGATATAAAGGCAATCGTGAAGATGTAGTGGACTGGAGGGATGAGAAAGAGGATTGGGTTGTGGGCCTGCTGTACCGCTTCCAGTTCCGATGATGGCGGACAGGGACCACCGGTAGTCAAAATGGGATGGAAATCCAGACATCCGCTGCCCGGGAGAGGGTCCTCGCGTTGACTTGAAATTGGTCAGAAATAGTTGGAAGTGGATGGTAAGTCCATGGTATACTAACAAGTCTGGATTTACGGTCAATACAGAACTGGGATCATTTTCTATCAGCCAGCTGTTCTCATAGTGTCGAAAACGCCAAGTACTTGGCAAGTACAGGCCTCTGTGCGGGTTAGAACAGTCAAATATCCCTCAAAAGGCCATTAAGTTACATAAAACTCTGGTACTTATTGTAACTTGGAAGGTCCTCAAAGGTACTTTAAGTTCACTTACACTTCACTTACCGGGGGAATTTCACTTACCCTGCCATAAGTGAGCATAAGTTAAATTTCACCGGGTAAGTGAAATTACATAAGTTACTTATGCAGGCGTCCTGACAATCCTATCGATTTCCGCCTGGGCTGCTTTCATGGCCTGGGGATTCGCTAGCATTCCGAGAAGGAAGGAATGGATCGAGGACACGCTCTTGTATCGGCTGGGTCAGGAAGGATAAATCCAAATTTGGGAGGAGCTCACAGTATCAGCTACACCTGTATACGGCCGTCCGATCAGCAAGTTTACAACCACCAGATTTTCAATCGTGGGCATATATAACTTACCCACGTAAATGTCCGCTGCTGTGAGCTTGATCAACTCCTCTTGTGCTGCAGTTTTCTCTTTAGCATGCATGTTCTCAAGACTGTGACGCGTGAACGACGGCGGTACGATACTCTCGGCCTGACGACACTAGAATCAAGTTCTTTCCATGATTTACAATGAGGACACACCATTGCAGTCTTAGTTGCCAGGAAGGGTGCATCTATCATCTGATCTCTGTCGTGGTTCCATTTCTGTGCTTTATGCTTGAACCCTGCTCCTTCGGTGTGTCGGACGAGGTCTGAGAGCTGTCCATGCATGAGGAGTGGTAACGTTACCTGGAAACCAGCTGGGGATATGTTTAAGAATGGGGAGAAAATCAACCACATAAGAGCCCGGCGTCGCGGCGAATAGTACCGCTGCAAGCGTATCCGCAGGGATTTTGATCAAAGGATCGGACGGAGAGAGACTATCGATTCCATAGGTGATTGACATGCTGAAGGAGCCGATCGTACTAGGAAAAGATAGGTCAAGGGGGAAGCGCAAACAGTCGTCGTGAAATCGGTACTGGCGAATATGCTCGCTGAAGTCCTCGGGAGAGGCCAGAAGGCGCCGAAGGAGGCGATGCGATGCGACCAGTTGGTGTGTCTGGAACCGATTGGCGGCGCTGGGTTGAAACTGCTCGTGAAGCAGGCGGCGCCCCGCGCGCCTGAAGTCCTTCATCAGTACAACAGAAGCGAGTACTGTTTGTTTTATGGCAAATACCATGCGGCGCCTTCCGCGCAAATAAATCAGTGCGGATCACAGTTCTTGTGACGCGGAATCCCTCACCATAATTCAAGAAGAACAAGCTGTTTCCCCAACCC